TAAATTCGTGCGCTTTTATTTGTCATATGCAAATGTTTATGTTTTTGTTAAAGCTTTTTTTATTGGGTGAAATTTGTTAAATTTCTTTTTTTTTTTTTTTTTTTTTTTTTTTTTTTTTTTGTGCTGTAAACCTGAGTTAGGTGCTTAAGTATTTTCCTTTTGTTTGAATGGGTTTCTTGACACTTATGATTGATTACCCAGCATGTGTCATTGCCTCTATAATATAGCATATAGGCTTCATTTAAGTCGAGCGTAGGCTCGATTCTTGGTTTCTGCCCGGCATAGTTGCGATATGCATGCTTGGACTCATTGAACTCTTAAACTTTTCCATGCCTTATCCGCAGTCGAACTGGATCAGTGCACGCATATCATATAAATATATGTATATGCAATGTATTGCTCGTACTTCAGCCTCGTGCTTAATTTTCGCAAGAATGAGTGTGTAAAAAGTCATGTCTGAAGAAATTGTACAAAAATGATGATGTCGTGCTATCGCCAATCACAATATAAATATATAAGTATACATAATCGCTGATAAAAATAAAGACCCCACTAGTTAAGGCTTATCTCAGATCTTTGTCACAGCGCAAAGCTCATAATTTACTTAAGTTTTTCCACTTAAAATGCAATTGCATAGAAAAAAGCTCCATTAACTTTAGTATATGTAGTTTCCATATATAATATATTCTAGTCAACTAACTGTTATAATAGCAAAATTTTTATACGAGGTGCATTCAAAAAGTAAAGCAAAGTGTTTTTTTTTCTTTCTCAAAATATATTGAAGAAGTTTTTAAATGTTTTATGTTTAAAATATACTCGAATATTGAATTCTAATTTTTAAATACTATTTAAACACACCTCGTTTGTAACTATTATTACTAATTATTCAATCAATTTAAGTATTCGATGTACGTTTTAAAGAAGCACTCTTGCTTATAAATTATATTTGTTATTCCATTAACTAATGAATTTTTAGTGCGGAAATGTACCATACGTTTATTATTTTATTCTTATTAATCGTTTATAATAGTAATTACTTGTGCTTATCGCATAATACAAATCTAAATGTCTGACTAGTGTAACCATATCTACAGAGCTATCAGCTATCAGATAACGCATCCGGGCATATATAATAAAGAGCACAAATGACGGAAGGCTACTAATCGTGATTGAGGATTAGAATCGAGTAAATTATGGTCCACTTCATGATATGATTAGCGCTCCATTTACATATATAAATATGTATATGTGTATATATATATATATATATA